GAAATGAGAATATTCCAGAATAAAACAAGTCGAGTTTGTTGAATGAGTTCACCTTATAGAACAGGTTACCAGAAGTACAACATCTGCCTGCAAACACAAAACCAGTCCAGGTTACCTTATGCTGCTGGACTTTACAATGATTTAAACAAACACAGATCAGCTGTACCTCGTTTAAAGATGTTGTTCGATCATAGCCCTTCTTCTGGAGAATGGACCAGGCGATTTCTGTGTCATTTACATTCATCTGACATCCATAGGTTTCAAAATACACTGCAACGAGGCAAAAACACACATGATGTCCCACAGTATCAAGTTACCTCTGAGGTTAGCTCTGGGTGACGCACCTTTCCTGGAGTTCCCTATCTCCAGGTCTCCAGAAAGATAACCATGTTCTTCAGTGTCTTCTCCATCTACAGACACTGAGACTCCTTTCACAAAGTCCTGAAGACATGGGCCGGATGCTAGCTGAGCTCTGAAGCTGTCGGGTACAGCTGTGGTCTTCTGTCTGCAGCTGGCCGTGGCGTTAAAGACAAGTCTGGGACAGTGTCCGGGCTGGACACACGAGAGACGGAACCAGTGTTTGGGAACCCTGAAGAACTTCAGAGTGCTCATGCTAGCTTAGTTTACCAGCTCGACGTCTGGTCGTTTCCTGTAACAATCCAGTAACAATCCAAATGTTCACAGCCCAGTTTTTAGTACTGATGAACTCTATTAGCTTAATATTTGATAAAATATAAGTCCAGATAAATACAAATGAAAACAACAGCGAGCAAAAGTGGTTTCGAAATAATTTACCTGCTACAAACACGTTTAGTCCAAAAATAAAAAAAATTCTCACTATTTCAACCAAAGTTCAGGCCACATGTACAATTATGTGATAATCTCATTATAAAGATGTACTCAGATAAATCTGGCAGGTCTGGAGCAAAATGTGGAGCAAAATGTCAGTTGAACCTCCCCGTGTTAGTACTTCCATGTACTTCCATGGATTCTTCTTCTTCTTCTTCTTATTCTTCTTCTTCTACTTCTTATTCTTCTTCTTGTGTTTTATGGCGGTTGGCAAGTAACGTTTAGATGTGCATTACCGCCATCTACTGGAATGGAGTATGGATCGGGATGCTAAATAATTACTACACAGGTTTTAACAAAAATAAATAAATAAATAATATTAATAATAATAATAATTATTATTAACTAAATAAAATAAGAAGAAAATAAGAAGAAAAAAAAACTATATTCTCTCGATTATTTCAGTCTTCTTAAGGTCTTAACAAAAAAACAATATGTTCAGAAGTGGGAAGTTTATCCAAAAGATCCTATATATTCAACTGTAGTTTGTTGTCCTGTAGTCTACGTGCCAGTTCCTTTCTCTCAGCTGAATATTTGGGACAGAATAATAAAACATGATTCACTGTCTCTTCTTGAAAACTAAAGTCACATTTTCCTGTAGGATGTTTTCCCATTTTAAACAATGTACTGTTTAATCTTGTGTGGCCAAAACGTAATCTGGATATGACTGTTTCCTCCTTTCTATTTCGTTCTGTTCTCCTCATTACACCAACTTTCCCTTGAACGTTATAAAACCACCTGCCAGTTCTTTCTTCTTCCCACTGTTTCTGCCATCTTTCCTTCACCTTTTGTTTAATAACTGATTTGATTTCTCCTTTACTGAATGGTACCAATATATCAATGTAAGTATTTTTTGTTGCTTGTTTTGCATATTTATCTGCCAACTCATTTCCTTTTATTCTGTATGTGATGATATCCATATAAATGTAATTAATAAACCCATCGCTTGAATTCTATAAATTAATAATTTAATTTCTAATAAAAGGTCATGTCTGCTGTCTGAATGATTATTTTTCAATGAGTATAATGAAGAACTTGAATCAGAACATACTATACTCCTTAATGGACAAACTTCCTCAATCCATCCCAGAGCTAAAATGATTCCCATCATCTCTCCTGTGTAGACCGAGACTCCGTCAGTAATTCTTTTACCTGTTTTGAAACTGAATTCTGGAACAATGAATGAAACCCCGCTACTGTTATTTGAGTTTTTTTATGCATCTGTATAAATTTTGACATATCCATAATACTTACTATCTAAATATGTTTGTATTGAATGAGAATCTGAAATGTTTTCTTTTTTACGATTTTCCAACAAAGTGAGATCAACATCACTATTAGTTAAAAGAGATGGGTGAACTGGAGACTGAGGAACTGTTTGACTAATATTTATGTGGGATATATCTAAATCTTTTATAATGTTTTCTACAGTCCATCCAAATGAATTTAATTTCTTTTTTCTCTTTTTCCCAGCTAGGTTTTAAAATCTCTTGACATGGATGATTTTCATTATGACCTTTTAAATGACACCAGTAAGTTGAAATTATTTGTAATCTTCTAAACTGAAGTGGCATTTCTCCCATTTCCACCAGTAAAGCTGATGTTGGAGTTGTTCTGATTGCACCTGTACATAATCTCAAGGCTTTATGCTGAATATTATCTAATTTTTTGAGTAATGTAACTGATGCTGACCCAAATGCTATACTGCCATAATCAAATAAGGACCTAATTAAACCTGTGTATATTGATTTCAGTGCTTTCATCTCAGCTCCCCACTCACTCCCCACCAAACACCTCATTACATTTAACACTCTCTTACATTTATCTATAATGTTTTGAATATGCACTTTCCAAGTAAGTTTGTCATCTAACCATATACCCAAAAACTTAAATTGCTTTACCCTTTCCAAATCATGATTATATATTCTCAGTTTTACATTTTCTGATACCTTTTTCCTTGTAAAAAATAAAGTCTTCGTTTTATCTATAGAAATTTTGAATCCCCATTTAAAGGACCAGTCTTCTATTTCATTAATTGCTTCTTGTGTCTTTTTTACAATAAAATTTAAAATTTTTTCCCCTCTTCCAGATTGCCCCGTCATCAGCAAATAAAGAAAACCCCATTCCATCCATCCATCCATTATCTTTACCTGCTTATTCCATTTTGGGTCACGGGGGTCACTGGTGCCCATGTCCAGCAATCACTGTGCGAGGGGTGGGGGACACCATGGACGGGTCGCAAGTCCATCACAGGGCCACATAGAGACAAACGAGACAAACAACCATTCACTCTCTCACTCACACCTAGGGACAATTTAGAGTTACCAATCAGTCTAACATGCATGTTTTTGGTTTGTGGGAGGAAACCGGAGCACCCGGAGAAAACCCACGCGTGCACGGAGAGAACATGCAAACTCCACCCAGAAAGGCCCCTGGACCGGGGTTTGAACCAGGGACCTGCTTGCTGAGAGGCAGCAGCTCTACCAGTTGCGCCACCGTGCTGCGAAAACCCCATTCCATTCTCCAAATTTTCAAACATATCATTAATCATAATAGAAAAAAACAATGGGCTCACTACTGTATACTTCCTTGGGGAGTTTAATTTTCAACCAAAATTTTTCTGAAAATGTTTTTCCTATTCTCACTTGTATTGATCGATCTTGTAAAAAATCATTTATCCAATAAAACATTGAACCATTTATTCCCATCTTTTTTAGTTTTATTAATAAACCTTCCTTCCACATCATATCGTAAGCTTTCTCTATATCAAAAAAGACAGCCACCACACTCTCCTTATTAACTTGCCCTTCCCTGATTTCATGTTCTAAACATAAAACAGGATCCATAGTGTTTCTACCTTTTCTAAATCCACTTTGGAATTTTGATAAATATCCCCTCTTCTCAACAAAGTAAGTCAATCATTCATTTATCATTCTCTCCATAATTTTACATAAATGTGAAGTTAAAGCTATGGGTCTATAACTGGCTGGATTTGATCGTTCTTTACCTGGTTTTAGGATTGGAACTATGATTGCTTCTTTCCATGCTTTAGGTAAAAAGCCTAATTCCCAGATCTTATTATATAATTCCAGTAAAACCTTTTTAGATGAATTACTAAGCTGATTAATCATAATGTAAGAGATATTGTCATTTCCTGGAGATGAGTTTTTTGATTTCCTAAGGGCATTATTCAGTTCAGAAAAAGAAAAGGGAGCATTTAATAAGTCAGTGGATCTTATATTTTCTTTTAATAAATGAATATTTTCATTGATTGTACAATTTCTCCTCTGTTTCATTTCTGTACTTAGATTACTATTACTGTGGATTTTAACAAAATGTTTGACCAAAATGTTTGCCTTCTCTTCCTCTGTTACAGCAGTAACATCTCCATCTTTCAGAACTGGACATCCATATTCTCTTCTAATCCCATTCATTCGTTTTATCATCCCCCATCTCTGCACCTTTCACTATGATTATGATTTTTTTCAGTTTTTTGCTTCACTTGATCAGTGCAATTAATAACATAAACCATGAACAGAACTAAATTATCCATTGTGATTTCCATTCCTGACATTGCTCTTTGACTGGATTCAGGTTTTGGACTAGGAGGAACTTGATGATTTCCCTGCAGGCCTACTGCTCTTTTTTCTTGCACCCTTTTTGTTGCTTCTGCATAATCATTATAAGTTCATTAGAGTTCATAAAGTTACATATTTTATTGTCAGTCACAAGGTGAGACACCTCCATGTGTTTATATGTACAGGTAACTATAGACTGTAAAGTTCATATTCAATGTGCTTTTTCATTTCAGCTTGAAAACTGCAGGACTACAGGAACTCAACAAAAGCTGGAGCTGCTCTGTCTGTGGCCTCTCAGGAACGTGCACGTCACACACACAACCTCGGCCTAATGATGTGAGTATTTCTATTTTAAACTTTTATTTTTTCATTTATCCTTTATTTATACAGGTAGTCTCATTGAGTCATGAGAACTCATTTTAAAGAGAGACCTGTTTAGGAGCAGATGGTGAGGGTTAAGGGCCTTGTTCAGGGGCCCAGAGTGGGGCCAATGAGGGTGGAGGCAGGTGTGGGTGTTTCACCTTTTCCACCTCATTTTGATGTTGACGGTACCGGGAGTTGAACCTGCGACTTTCCGATCACAGGCCCATCTTCTAACCTCTGCTCCACCACTCCCCCACATAACATCATATCATAATGGTAATGGTCATATTAAAATCTCACTGGTTTCCTTCCAGATGTGTTAAACAGCTACTGGTCCCACTGATGTTTCCAGGTGTCTGTGGTCAGTGGATGAAAAGCCTGGCATGAACAAGATGATGCTGGAGATCATCATTTGACGAGAGCTACCACCTTCTAACTGTGAAGAACAACAGCAGCTCAGTGAAGGGGCTGAGAGCAGCAGAGAGGCTGATCCATGGAGCTTCAACACAGCAACCTCCAAACATGTCCACCCTCACACACATCGTCCATGAAGA